AAATCTCTGACTCTGTTTACTAAAGGAGCTCTAAACAATATCACCCCACCAGTACATGTGTGTTACAGTCTTCAAGATTTTGATCTCTAACACTAAAATTAGTGAGGACTCCTTAGAAGGATGGCTATTTCCTTTATGGCCTATGAGAGGTACAAAATATGTGTGAGATTTCTTTGTATGGGCTCTGGAAGGTGGTACACAGTGAGTGTGGGACATACTGATATTAGTAGAAAGCAAGGGTGCTAACAAAATTTATAAGGTTAGTAAGATACGCATTAAATTCATTAGCATGTTTGCCTATCGTGGTGTGGGGTGTGATAGGGAATAGGGAAGAGAATGGAGTAGAAATATAAGAATGAAAAAATGGGCCTTGTAGACATGAGTGTAAAAAATGTGCTATTAAACAGAGTATGGCTAACTCAATCCTCTGCCCTTGAGATTCAAAAATATATAATATATATACACAAACATATACATGTGTGCATGTGTGTGTGTAAGGGCTGTGTCAAGGGACATAGGGACCTGCTTTAAAAGAGTTCCTGATGACTAAGTCAACAAGCTGTATCAAAAATACTACATCATAAAAAGCCATGAGTTCATAATGATAATAGAAAGAAAAAAATATAATCCTTAATTTAAAAAAAGGAACTATAACTAGCTTAATATTTTTGAGCAAATTATTATTCGGTTTTAAGTATGTTATCAAGATTGACAGATGACTACCCACACATAAAGACTTGTATATTCATCATTAATAAAAAGTTTGAAGGAAAAAAAACAGCTTCAAAAATCTGAAAGGAATAATATCAAGGACACTCACTTTATATGCCAAATTATAAAGGTGTAGACTATTACAAAGCATTAAAAAAACATATCAAGACATTCCATTCAGATAAGAGGCCCTATCAGTTGGCTTGGATGAAAAACGGTCATGATCTGCAAGATAGGATGACAATCTTGTAAGCCTAGCTACAAGGCGCTGTATCAGTTCTACTCATCCCAACTACACCATAAAGTGCCAACACCAGAGTCCTAAATTCATGCAAAGAAGAGCCTTGGACCATGCCCCTGAAGCAAAGAAGAGCCTTGGACCATGGACCTCCTAAGTGTTCCTTATGACCAGCTTAGGGTTTTCTTCCTTTTATTTTGGTTTTAGCAAGGCCTACAAATTTATCTCCTGAAGTGCAGCTCAAACATTGGTCTATCTTAGACCAAGCCTGAGCTACCTCATGAACAAGTCAGAAGTTTATAGAGACCAAAATGATCTTGCTCATCTCTCCTCTGCCAGGGGGCAGAAGGTCTAACAAATGACAAACAGTTGTCATCTGTGCATGGTCACCACCCTGACTAGTTTCTGTCATTAGGTCTAGATTCTCTCTCCTTGGCTCTTAAGACTCTGAGATTCTATCTTCAACCTTCTTCTTTCCCTAGTTGATTTTATCCACTCTAAAACCTGCTACATGAACGACTATCCCAACTTTCCTCAAAATACTTTAAGTGGTATTTCTAACTGCCTACTAGCACTTCCATTTTAGTATTTTTCTTATACTTCAAATTCAGTCTGTCCAAATCTGAACCCGGCACATGCTTTTTCAAACCTTTTTACTATTTTCCCTAGTTCAGAATGACATCATAACCTTACAGTTGCTCTGCCATACGTTCTTAATCCCATCGCAAAACTTTCTGCCCCCTGTATTCCAAGCCTAGTCACAAAATGCTCTTAATTAAATTCCATCACTGAAATGTCTCTAACGGCCATCCCTAAAGTATGCCTAGGTTGAGGGTCTCATTACCCTATAATGGTTACTGCTACTGACTCTCACTATGTTCCTTTGATCCCAGTTTCCTACCCATCCAGTATTATTTTCCACTGTTTTTAATCCTTAGAGAACTCATCTTGTGTATTAGTTTCCTATGGCTGCTGTAACAGCGTATCACAAACTTGGTGGCTTAAAACAACGCATTTTATTCTCTTACTGTCTAGAGGTCAAAAGTCTGAAATCAGTTTCACTGGCCTGAAACCAAGGTGTTAGTAGAGCTCAGGGGGAGAATCCACTCCCTTTCTTTTTCCAACCACTAGAGCTGCGTTCTTTGGCTCATGGTCTCTTCCTCCACCTTGAAAGCCAACAGCATAGCATCTTCATATTTCTCTTTGCTTCCATCATTATACTACCTCTGCTTTCTTGTCAAATTTCCTTCTGCCTCTCTCATAAAAAGTCAACTGTGATTACACTTGGGCACCCCTAGATAATCCAGGATAACTTCATCATCTCAAAATCCCTAATTCAATCATATTAAGGTAACTTAAGGCGATATTAAGGTAACATCACAGGGACTTCCCTGGTGGCGCAGTCATTAAGAATCCACCTGCCAATGCAGGGGACACGGGTTCGAGCCCTGGTCCGGGAAGATCCCAAATGCCGAGGAGCAACTAAGCCCGTGCACCGCAACTAGTGAGCCTGTGCTCTGGAGCCCGTGAGCCACAACTACTGAGACCACGTGCCACAACTACTGAGGCCCGCGCTCCCGGAGCCTATGCTCTGCAACAAGAGAAACCACCGCAATGAGGAACCCGTGCACCCCACCGAAGAGTAGCCCCTGCTCACCACAACTAGAGAAAGCCTGCGTGCAGCAAAGAAGACCCAACACAGCCAAAAATAAATAAATTAAAAAAACAAAACAAAACAAAAGGTAACATCACAGGGTCCCAGGTATCTTTAGGGGCCATTATTCAGCCTATCACATTCTGTTATTTAAAAGACACTGATTACTCTTTATTTTATTCATTCAACAAATATTTACGGTGTTGCTACAATGTGCCAGACTCTATTCTAGGCACTGGTGCTCTGTAAGACACCAGAGATCTAGTAATGAAAAGAAATAATTCGTTTCCTCCAGGAGCCTAGTTTAACATTAGAAACGAATAATTCAACGTGCAGTCACAACACAATGTGATCATTTCTACAACAAAAACAAACGATTGAAACAGAAGCAAATGTGAGCTTTGAATAGTATCCAAACTATCCTTAGATAGTGGAGGATGTAGGCAGGAAAGAGGTACAGGCAGTGGTTACAGTTTTCTAGGATTTTAGGGGATTAGCAGTTTGCTAGTGAAAACTTAAAAACTGAATCTTCCCTTTTGCCAAAAGGGAAAGATATGTGCCACCACCCCTACCCTTTTTCTTAGAATATTCTTTGAGAAAATTTGTATTTGTAAATCCTTCCTCTATGCCTTTGATATGTATGTAAACTTGTAAAGCCTCTGTGAGCATTACAAACCAGGAATGTTTTTCTTGAGAGCCTGGGAGCCATCTCTTTGAAATGTAAACATCAAGAAAGATAGTGATCCTATCTCCCTGTCATTGTGGAAGTTTACCTAGTGCCTAACTCCAAACTGTTACCACCTGCTCATCATACTATACCAGAAGTTTTCTTTTCACTAGCACAGATAGCCCAACTGCCAGGTGAATTTAGGATAAATATGAAAGAATGTATAGCTAACTGTGTTGTCAGTCCCCTTAAATGAGGACAAATTACAATTAACCTCGAGAACATGTATATAATTGCTCAGCTACATTACAAAAACAGAAAGAAACCCCACCCTTTTTAATCTCATCAGCAGGTTACCTATGATGCATGCGGAAATCTGGTTTAATGTTTATTCAATAGTAACTTGTTTTCTGTCTTTTGGAGAGGTTTTTCTGGGTTGGCAGGAGATAAAAAAAAAAAAAAAAAAAAAACTTTCCCCAATACTACATGAAGGAATAAGGATGAGGGTTGAAGGCAGAATCAACATTTTTTTTTTACCCCAAATGGCTTTTTGGCCTTATTTCCTGATTTATCCAATAATCAGTCAGATTCAAAGTCATATCTCAATAAAAATGTGACTTTAATTGGCACTCTCACAGGGCTTTCTTGAGAACCAGAGGATAGAAAGACTTAAAATTGGTATGCTGGGAATTACACATAACAGTATAATTATAGATGGGTGTGGTACTGTACATTTGTGAACATCCTGTGTCTTACTGAAAAAAGGAATGCTGGTCTAGACAATTTGTTTTTCATAACTCCAATTTTTAAAACTTTTTATTATGGAAAAATTTCAATATATACAAAAATAGAATTGTACAATGTAACAACAACCACCAACACTTCATATATAAGCTCTACTCCTCCTCCATCAGACTGGCTAAAGCAAATCCTAAACATCATATCATTTCATCTAATAATGTTTCCAAATGCATTTCTCAAGGATAAGGTCTTAAAAAAAAACGAAAAAAGCAAAACATCTCACAGCCAATGAACTTAACACTACTCACTAGTAGCATCTTATATACATGGAAGTGTTTGAACTTCCCTAATTGCTTCATAAGACTTTTCAGTTAGGAAACAATCAAGGTTCACCCACTGCATTTGGTTGGTATGACTCTTAACTCTCTTAATCACTATGTTATAAATGTAATCTGCTGAAGTGAAGGTCATTTGGCCTCCCAGAAAAATATCTTAACCTGATAAAGAGCATCTGCAACAACCTAGAGCTAACAGTATACTTGATGGTGAAAGGCTAAATGCTTTATACTTAAGATCAGGAACAAGGCAAGAATGTCTGTTCTCACCACTCAATCAGTATAGTACTGAAAGTCTACTTAGTACAATATGGTAAGAAAAGGAAATAAAAAGCATACAAATCAGAAAGGAAGAAATAAAACTATCCCTATCTTGAGATGATAGTACATAAAAAAAATCCCTAGGAATCTACAAAACATTTCCTAGAACTATTAGGAGTTTAGGAAGGTCAAAGGATACAAGGATAAACATACAAAAATCAATATTATTTCCATATACTATGGACATGTGGGCACTGAAATTATATTTACAATACCATTTATAATTACTCAAAAAATACTTAGGTGTAAATGTAACAAAATATGTACAGGACTTGTATTCTGCGAACTACAAAACACTGATGAAAGAAATTAAGTAAGAGCTAAATAGGGAATTCCCTGGTGGTCCAGTGGTTAGGACTCAGCACTTTCACTGCTGAGGGCCTGAGGGCCCAGGTTCAATCCCCGGTCAGTGAACTAAGATCCCATAAGTTGCACATTGTGGCCAAAAACAAAAACAAAAAAGAGCTAAATACATGGTAAGATACACCATATTGATGGATTAGAAGATTCAGCATAGTAAAGATCTCAACTGTCTCCAAGTTTACTTGGTTTACTGCAATATCTCAGCAAGACTTTTTTGTAGACATAAATAAGATTATTCTAAAATTTATATGGAAAAGCAAAGAAACTAGAATAGTTAAAGCAACTTTGAAAAAGAATAAAGAAATAACCCATCCAATATTAAAGCCTATATATAGCTACAGTAATCAACACTGTGTGATGTGGGTGGAGGGATAAACACAGATCAGTGAAACAGAACACCTAGAAACAGACTCACAAATGTGCTCAACAGCTTTTTGACAAAGGTGTAAAAGAACTGAGTGGAGGAAAATAGCTTATTCAACAAATAATGCTGGGACAACTGACTGTCCATAAGCAAAAAAAATGAATCTTGACTGAATCCTATATCTAATACAAAAATTAAATGTAAAAGAATCACAGAAATAAATGTACAGTGTAAAGCTACAGCATTTTTAGAAAAAACACAGAAGAAAATCTACAGGATCTGAGGATAGGCAAAGAGTTCTTAGACTTGACAACGAATGGACAATCCATAAAAGGAAACACTGATGAACCAGACCTCTCAAAATTAAAACTTTTGCTCCTCAGAGACACAATTAAGAGGATGAAAGGAAACTAAAGACTAGGAAAAAATATTTGCAAACCACATATCCATCAAATGACTACCATCTAGAATATATTAAAAAAACTCTCAAATCTCAACAGCAAAAAACCAAACAATACAATTAGAAAACAGACAAAAGACACGAACAGACATTTCATCAAAGATGATATACAGATGGTAAAAAAGCACATGGGGGCTTCCCTGGTGGCGCAGTGGTTGAGAGTCCCCCTGCCGATGCAGGGGACACGGGTTCGTGCCCCAGTCTGGGAGGATCCCACATGCCGTGGAGCGACTAGGCCCGTGAGCCATGGCCACTGAGCCTGCGCATCCAGAGCCTGTGCTCCGCGATGGGAGAGGCCGCAACAGTGAGAGGCCTGCGTACCGCAAAAAAAAAAAAAAAAAAAAAAAAAAAAAGCACATGGAAATAACATCATTAGAACTTAGGAAGATGCAAATTAAAATCACAGTGTATATCACCATATACCTATCAGAATGGCTAAAATAAAAGTATTGACAACACAAAATGTTGGCAAGGATGCACAGAAACTGAATCACTCATATGCTGCTGCGTTGCTGGTGGAATGTAAATTGGTACAGCCACTCTGGAAAACAATTTAGCTGTCTTTCAAACTAAACATGCAACTAAAACATGACCCAGTAATTGCACTCCTCCACATTTATCACAGAGAAATAAAAACTTACTTTTGCACAAAAACCTGTACACAAATGTTTATAGCAATGTTACTTGTAATTGTCAGAAACTGGAGACAACCCATATGTCCTTCAACAGTGAATGGTTATGTAACTGTGGTATATGTGTTTTACAAAAAACTATTCAGCAATCAAAAGGAATGAAATATTGATAAGTAACAAGGAAATACTGACAAGGAACTACTTGAATAAATTTCCAGAGAATTATGCTGAGTGGGAAAAAAAACAGTCCTAAAAGGTTGCATACTGTATGATTCCATTTAAATAACATTCCTGAAATGACAAAATTATAGAAATGGACTAGTGGTTACAAAGGGTTAAGAATAAGAGGAGGTGAGGAACAGGGACAAGGAACAAGATGAAAGTGGGTGTCTAAAAATGAGTAACAGGAAGGATCCTTATGGTGACAGAAGGAATTCTTCCATATCTTTGCTGTATCAACATCAATATCTTGTTTGCAGTCTTGAACTATAGTTTTGGAACTGGGTAAAGGACCAATGGGATCTCTCTGTACTACTTCTTATGTGAATCTAAAATTATCTTAAAATCAAAAAAAATTTTTTTTGAAGTAAATTTCCCTCTAAAGTAAAAAATCAAATTGGTATCATTCCTCCAAATCTGATCTCCTAGTACTACTATCTCAGTGAATTATATCATTATCCATCCCTGAACAAGTCACAAACCAAGCAAGCGTCCTTGACAACTCAATCTCCTTTATCTTCCATATCCAATTCATCTTTAAGTCCTGCTGCATTTATCTCCTAAATGTCTCTGAAACTGGTTCCCTTCTTTCTGTGTCCATCACCACTAACCTAGCCAAGTCATTCATGCATTCATTAACTGGAAGCCAACTCTGACCGAACACTATTTTAGGCACTGGAGAAATGGGCACAAATGAAACAGACAACCCAGCACAAGAGAGTTTATAATTCAGAGGAAGAGCAGATTATAAATAAATATGTACTATTTTGCAGTGGTAAGTACTCTGAGAGAAAATAACACATGGTGAGGGCATAAAGACTGTGGAAGAATGCTGGAGAGGGTCTGGAGAAAAGGGAACCCTCTTACACTGTTGGTGGGAAGGTAAATTGGTGCAGCCACAATGGAAAACAGTATGGAGGTTCCTCAAAAACTAAAAATAGAGTTGCCATATGATCCAGCAATCCCACTCCTGGGCATATATCCAGAAAAAACTATAATTTGAAAACATACATGCACCCCTACTGCCCAGTCTTGCCACTATTATTCAACATAGTTTTGGAACTCCTAGACACGGCAACTAGAGAAGAAAGAGAAATAAAAGGAATCCAAATTGGAGAAGAAGAAGTAAAACTGTCACTGTTTGCAGATGACATGATACTATACATAGAAAATCCTAAAGACGCCACCAGAAAACAGCTAGAGCTAATCAATGGATTTAGTAAAGCTGCAGTATACAACATTAATACACAGAAATCTCTTGCATTCCTATACACTAACAATGAAAGATCAGAAAGAGAAATTAAGGAAACGATTCCATTTACCATTGCAACAGAAAGAATAAAATACCTAGAAATAAACCTACCTAAGGAGACAAAAGACCTGTATGCAGAAAACTATAAGATACTGATGAAAGAAATCAAAGACTACACAAACAGACGGAGAGATATACCATGTTCTTGGATTGGAAGAATCAACACTGTGAAAATGACTATACTACCCAAAGCAATCTACAGATTCAGTGCAATCTCTATCAAATTACCAATGGCATTTTTCACAGAATTAGAACCAAAAATTTTACAATTTGTATGGAAACACAAAAGACCCCGAAGAGTCAAAGTGATCTTGAGAAAGAAAAAGGGAGCTGGAGGAATCAGGCTCCCTGATTTCAGACTATACTACAAAGCTACAGTAATCAAGACAGTATGGTACTGGCACAAAAACAGAAATATACATCAATGGAACAGGATAGAAAACACAGAGATAAACCCATACACATATGGTCACCTAATCTATGACAAAGGAAGCAAGAATATACAATGCAGAAAAGACAGCCTCTTCAATAAGTGGTGCTAGGAAAACTGGACAGCTACATGTAAAAGAAGAAAATTAGAACACTCTCTAACACCATACACCAAAATAAACTCAAAATGGATTAAAGACCTAAATGTAAGGCCAGACACTATAAAATTATTTGAGGAAAACATAGGCAGAACACTCTTTGATATAAGTCACAGCAAGATCTTTTTTGACCCACCTCCTAGAGTTATGAAAATAAAAACGAAAATAAAAAATGGGACCTAATTAAACTTAAAAGCTTTTGACAGCAAAGGAAACCATAACAAAACGAAAACCCTCAGAATGGGAGAAAATATTTGCAAATGAAGCAACTGACAAAGGATTAATCTCCAAAATATACAAACAGCTCAGGCAACTCAGTATCAAAAAAAAAAAAAATTAAAAAATGGGCGGAAGACCTAAATAGACATTTCTCCAAAGACATATAGATGGCCAAAAAACACATGATAAGATGCTCAACATCACTAATTATTAGAGAAATGCAAATCAAAACTACAGTGAGGGGCTTCCCTGGTGGCGCAGGGGTTGAGAGTCTGCCTGCCGATGCAGGGGACA